TCTCTCTCTCTCTCTCTCTCTCTCTCTCTCTCTCTCTCTCTCTCTCTCTCTCTCTCTTCTCTCTCTCTCTCTCCTCTCTCTCTCTCTCTTTCTCTCTCTCTCTCTCTGGGTGCTTAGAGCATACATCACTTTGTTATGAGGCGATGCGTGATGCAAAGACGGCAAAACGCCAAATTTGCATTGCGTGGATAGATTTGAAGAATGCATTTGGTTCAGTGCGCCACAATCTGATACAGTATGCTCTAACCCACTACAGCCTTCCTTTGCAATTCAGGAAATTAATTTTTTCCTACTACGACAGTCTTTGCGCTTTCGTCGTACAACCACACACGCCCACCTTTAATTACAACATTGGTGTTTTCCAGGGGTGCCCCTTGTCCCCGGTCCTTTTCAATATTTGTTTCCAGCTTCTGCTGGACTCACTTGCAGCCCCTGAATTAAGTTGCCTCTCCTATGATTTTAAATCTGCCCCTTTGCAAGTGTCCCAAACAGCTTTTGCTGATGACTTAGGCCTCTATAGCAAATCTAGTGCAGGTTGTCAAAAACTCATTGCGGTCACGGAGGACTTTCTCTCGTGGACCCAATGTATGCAGGCGGCGCCGCACAAATGCAAAAGCAGTGCAGCAAAGCTTGTAGATGGCCGGTACAAACCTTACGATCCCTGCCTGACAATGTCAGGGAGGAAGATCGCTTTCATTGACACTGCAGAGTTCAAGTTCCTGGGGCGAAGGCTGCATGCTGATTGCTCTGAGCAGACCCAGCGGGAAGACATCCGTCAACTCACTGTATCTCTCATGCAAAAAGTAGATGGCTCTTGGCTTCAAGACCACCACAAGCTATGGCTTTACCACCATCTTGTAGTGCCCAAGCTTTCTTGGTCTTTCCAGGTTCTTGAACTCACACAAGGTTTTGTACGTGAACTGCACTTTATGTGTTTACCATTTCTGAAGAAATGGTCAGGCCTACCTCGATGCGCAAACTCTGCCATTCTTTTTATTGGCAGTCGCAAACGCTTTGGCTTACGCCTCCACTACCTTCCTACGGTGTGGAAAAAGTGCCAGTCCATCAAATGGCACATTCTTCGATCGAGTGGGGACGCGCGCATGAGGGCGCTGTACACTCTGCGTCGGAGTAAGGATGCGAAGCTGACAAAGCGATATGCGGCGATGTTATAACGTACGCACGCAAGATTCATTCCATGCAACTCGCGTATACCACAGCAGGAAACACCATCTGGTTTGTTCTAGGATAATTTAGAAGTGAACATGTAAAATGGCAATCATGGAGAGATAAGCAGCAGAGACACGTCAGTGCTGTCGTGGCACTAATGGCGCTATGACACGACAGTATAGGCCTCGTCAGCTCGTACCAAAGTAAGACACACGTCAGCCATGCAGACGTAATGCAGAAGAAGACTGATTCATAATGAGGTAAGACATTGTCACTCTTCGTCATGCATGCATCAAAGGAGCGTAGAACGACACACGTAGAGCACACGTAGAACGACACACGTAGCAGAACGTAGATCGTAGATCGTACGACTAATATTAATAATAGATCAATCTATAACAATCCTCCTTCCTTAAAGAAGTAGTGAAGTGGGACTAGCAATAATGCATATATAATCAAAATGCATCCAAACAACTATATACAAGAGCAAATCCTTATATCCGACTAACTATGATACAATACTATGCTATTACAGACAATTAGCGGAATAGGACACTCTAAGGCAATGTCAGAATTGCTAGGCGAGTCACTCATGACTAATGCTAAGATAGTCACTCAATACTCACAAATTTAAGCGATCAGGGGCACGGCGCATTCTTGACGGATAGCGCGGTGACACTGGAGTTGACGAAACAGGCACTGACACATCAGGCATACTAACAGGAGTAGCGACTTGAACTGTATCAGGCATACTAACAGGAGTAGCAGCAGTAGTAGACATACTAGGCGTGGCAGTAGTAGGCGTACTAGACGTAGCAGTAGTAGGCGTACTAGGCATAGTAGTAGCTGCTGTATCAATGACAGGAGACGACTGAGCCGGCGGTGAAGCTGGTAACTCAGGACTCGGCGTTGCTGTAGCGACTGTCGGAGTAACACTCGGCGTAGACACTGTCGGAATGGCGTCGGACTCGGCCGATAAACTAGCCGACTCAGCTGTTCTGGACTTCAAGTGATCAATGTGCACTTTTCGGATGACTCCTCCTACCATCACAGAATAGGTCATCGTACTGAGTCGTTTGCATATTAAACCTTCTAGCCACTTCGGCTTAGATCCAGGACGAGCATTGTACACCCACACTGGTGCATTCACTGTGAACTCACGAGACGCAGTACTATCGAGTTCATGGGCCTGCTGCATAGCCGTGGCGAAACTGGGTTGCAGCAGCGCCAAACGCGTGGTCGGGGCTTTCTTCAATAGAATATTCGCGGGACTCTGCTTGGTAGCGCTGTGCGGCGTGTTTCTGTAATCGAAAAGAAAGCGAGACACTTGCACACATACAGACACATGGTGAGGCCTTGCTCGCAAAGCCTTCTTCAGCTCTTGCACCATCCGCTCACACTGTCCGTTGCTGGCGGGATGATAGGGCGGTGTACGATGATGCTTAATACCATTCTGAGCACAGAAAGCAGCAAACTCGCCAGAGGCAAATTGTGGGCCGTTATCAGATACTAGTACTCTAGGAATACCAAATGTACTGATGAACCGTAGCAAACAGTTCACTGTTTTAGTAGTCGTAGCGGAGGAACCAAGCTCGTATACATCAATCCACTTAGAGAATGCATCAACTATGACCAGAAACTGTTGCGACTCGAACTCAGCAAAATCAAGATGCACACGCTCAAAAGCAGCATTGGGGTATGCCCAATGGTGGACAGAGTCCTTGCGGGGCAGATTAGAGCTTTCCTGACAAAGACTGCAATCGGCGGCTAATCGTTCGATATCGGCATCTAAGCCTGGCCACCAGAAAATGCTTCGTGCCACACTCTTCATTCGAGACACACCGGCATGTGAAGAATGCAGTTCCTCTAATAAGTGGCGTCTAAACTGAACTGGAATAATGACGCGGGAACCCCACAGCAAACAACCATGCTCAATACTTAGGTCATTCCGGATGCGGCTATACGGCACTAACCTGTCGGGAACTGTAGCAGGCCAACCATGCAGCGTGTAGGACATTACTAACGAAATGTCAGAATCGTATTTGCTAGCCTTGGCAACATCCGAACTCTGTAGAGGCATTAACTCGCAGGGGTCAAATGCATGACTGCTGACTGCACTAACAATTGCAGACATTTCAGCAGCAGACAATGGTAAAGGCAGACGAGACAAACAATCTGCTAGCACATTTTCTTTACCTGGAATATGCTCAATGACGTAGTCGTACTCAGCGAGAATCACGGCCCAGCGCTGTAGACGGGATGCCGACGTCTTACTTAACGACTCGTGCTCGCCGAAGATCTTGATTAGAGGCTTATGGTCGGTGCGCAGAATGAACTTACGACCGTAGATGTACTGGTGTAAACGACGAACAGCAAACACGATAGCTAACGCCTCTCGCTCAATCTGGCTGTAATGACTCTCTGCTTTGGACAAAGCACGTGACACATATACAACTGGCCGAACAGACTGGTCCGGCATGACATGTAGAAGAGCAGCACCAATACCAGCAGGGGATGCATCACACTCTAAGATCAGTGGTAAGGTAACATCATAATGGGCCATAACAGGATCGGCGATGAGAAACTCTTTAACTTTGGCAAACGCCGACTGACATGCATCCGTCCAATTAAAGACTACATCCTTCTTTAACAACTCGTTCAGGGGTTGTAACAGCGAGGAGCAATTGGGGATAAACCGCCCAAAGAAATTCACGAGCCCCAGAAACGAACGCAAGGTAGATACATCATGGGGCCTCGGGGCATTCTGAATACTCAAAACCTTATCCCGACTGGGCTGTAGACCAGCCTTCGACAATGTAAACCCAAGGTAACTAACTTGTGGCTTACCAATCTCACATTTCTCACGACGCAACCGCAGCCCTGTCTCAGCGAAACGACGGAGGACTGCTCGTAGACGCTCGTCGTGTTGTTGCTGGGTGTTACCACAAATGAGAATATCGTCGAAATAGACAACGACACCTTCTAGACCTTGTAGCACCTGCTCGATGGCCTTCTGCCAGATTGACGGAGCTGAGCTGACGCCGAAGGGTAGTCTCGTGAATTCGTACAAACCCTTGTGCGTAGCGATGACACAATAGCGCCTACTGTCGTCGTCGAGCGGTAGCTGAGCATAAGCTTGGCTGAGATCTAATTTGGAAAATACAGATCCACCAGATAATTGCGATAACAAATCACTCGGGTTGGGAATGGGATGTTGGTTAGCTTCAATGTGCTTGTTGATGGACACTTTAAAATCTGCACATAAGCGGATGGTGTTGTTTTTCTTTTTTACAACCACCACGGGGGATGCCCAATCAGCGTTAGAGACCGGCTTGATGATCCCCTCCCCCTCTAGACGCAACAACTCCGCTTCAACCTTAGTGCGGACAGCGTACGGGACAGGACGGGAACGGCAACTCTTGGGGGTGGGCGACCCTTGAAGCTGGATCTTGGCAGACTGACCCTTAATGGTACCCAAACCCTCTTGAAATACGGTAGGGAACTGACGCAATAGACTATCTAGCGACAATGCATTGACCTGTGCATTACGAAAATTTGACCAGTCTATAATGACGTGGGACATCCAGTTCCGACCAAACAGGGGCTGACCACTACCCTCTACAACAATGATGGTGTCTCGAAACTGGTGAGACTCGTAACGGACATCGACAATGCATTCACCCAATACAGAAAGGGAACTACCACCATACGAATGCAGTGATGCACGAGACTTATGCAGACACACATTGGAAAACTGCTCCTTCCAAACAGAACTAGGGAATACTGAAACTTCAGCACCAGTGTCGACTTCCATAGGACAGACTACATCATTAACGCATACATCAATCATCATGGGAGGATGAGACTTAGACTTAGGTTGACACTTATCTGTAGGTGACACATCGTCGGTGAGAGCCCCAATGCTGAAAGAGTCGAACAGTGACTCTGGCTCGGACGAAATGTGGGACGTCGACTGCGAATTGCAGCAGGAAGCGAAATGCCCACGACGCTGACACTTGCTGCAGGTTTTGCCACGCGCCGGGCAACTCGGATCCCGACCGAAATGACCAGCCTTGCCACACCTAAAACAGAGACGCTCAGAGGAAGTAGAAGCAGAAACAGACACTCTCTCAGGTTTACGTGCACGATCCGTTTTACCTGACGACTTGAAATGTTGTTTCTGTTGTTTCTGCGACACAGAGTGCTTACGAGAGAGACCGTGGACTTCTGATGGCGTACTCATAGCAGCAGCGGAACCCATAGACGAAGCTTGTTGCTGGGTTGCCTCAAACAAAGCTGCAATTTCTAGACACGTACCCAAAGTTAGTTTTGGATCTGATAACAACTTCTTTTTCAACTCGACATTCACAATGCATGACACCACATGGTCTCGAATCATGTCGTCACAAGCGGTACCAAAATCACACAAGCGGGCCTGGACGCGTAATCTTACAACAAACTGACTCACCGACTCATTCTTAGCAAAGGTCATCTGGCGCAGCACGTGACGCTCGTATACAGGATGTGGCGCGGCCTTGAAATGTTCGTTCAGTTTCCGTAACGTAACCTTGTACTCGTTGTCATCCGCAGGCAGAGCCGACGCCTGTGGATCTTCGAGGTCTTCGAATAAGTCCTGAACCTGTGTTCCGGCAGTATGCAGCAATAAATTTTTCAGCCGTTTGTGATCCGTAATCCCTTGGCCTTCAGCCATGTACGTAAAGCTTCGTAGCCATTTCTTCCAGCGAGAGGACACTTCTGCTGGCGTGCCCCGGTATTCGAAAACTGGAAGCTTGTGGGCTGTGCTCAGGTTACTACAAACGCTCATCTTCGTCGCCAATTGTTATAACGTACGCACGCAAGATTCATTCCATGCAACTCGCGTATACCACAGCAGGAAACACCATCTGGTTTGTTCTAGGATAATTTAGAAGTGAACATGTAAAATGGCAATCATGGAGAGATAAGCAGCAGAGACACGTCAGTGCTGTCGTGGCACTAATGGCGCTATGACACGACAGTATAGGCCTCGTCAGCTCGTACCAAAGTAAGACACACGTCAGCCATGCAGACGTAATGCAGAAGAAGACTGATTCATAATGAGGTAAGACATTGTCACTCTTCGTCATGCATGCATCAAAGGAGCGTAGAACGACACACGTAGAGCACACGTAGAACGACACACGTAGCAGAACGTAGATCGTAGATCGTACGACTAATATTAATAATAGATCAATCTATAACAGGCGACAATAGAGCTGGAGTGTGCAGAGGCATCAGTAGGTTCAGGGACTCTCCGTCCACCGTCATCTTCAAGTCATCGTGCAGGGTTGGGTGCTCCTGCTCCGAAGCAGCATTCCAAACCCCCGAGGAAGGATCTCCTTCAAACATTTGAGGAGATCAACGCGCAGGAGCAGATTTTGAGGCTGAAGACTCTTCAGGTGCAAGGCAAGTGGTTGGAGTGGACATCGGTGATGTGGCAGGACCTCTCGTGGAAATCCCTTTTGTACGGTGGTACTGGTAAGGATTTGAAATTTCTTCTCGCATCAACCCTCGACGTGCTACCTTCTCCGACGAACCTACGCCGTTGGGGAAACACCGTAGTGGATCCGTACTGTAGTTTGTGCCGTACCTGGGCCTGTACTACGCGCCACGTGCTTGGCGCTTGTCGCGTAGCGCTGGACCAGGGACGTTACACCTGGAGGCACGACAACGTACTCGGGGTCATCGTCAGGAACATGCGTGAGGAGATTCGAATCCGCACTGCTGCAAACACCGTACAAACCGAAAATTCAAAGGAGCTTGACTTCATCTCGTTTTGCAAGGCGGGAGAGAAGCCAGTTCGCGTTCAGCCCAGACGAAAGTTGGTTACGACTGATCTCCTGTCAGCGGCCTCAGACTGGAAACTTCTTGTCGACTCAGTTAGTGCAAAGATTTCTTTCCCTAGCTGTGTTGCACTTACCACCCTAAGACCAGATATAGTTCTGTACTCTACGAGTCGTAGGATTGTATTCTGGATGGAGTTGACAGTTTGTGCTGAGGACAGATTCAGTGTCAGTAACTCGCGGAAGGACAGGCGGTATGCGGATCTGGCCGATCAATGCCGAGCAAACGGGTGGCAGGTCGTTTCTTTTTCGGTTGAGGTAGGTGTGCGTGGTTTCATCCCGGACTCTCTTCGGAGGGCTCTGAAAGCGCTTGGATTTTCTAATCGAAGAATAAAATTTATTTGTAATTTGTGCAGTAAGACGTCTCTGCGAAGCAGCTACATCATCTGGTTGCGGCGTCAACAAAAACACTGGTCGGAAGATCCACTTTTCTGAGGTACTGTATGTGGGGCTCCGTTTATTGAGGTGCGTTGAAATTTATTCTCTTTATCTTATTATTTCTTTTCTATAATTTCCCCATATGAGTTCCTATCAGTTGCTGTGAACACCTTGAGTGGAGAGCGCTTGCTCGAGCGTTGAACCGGGTTCTTAATCCACCATACCCAGTTCGCAAGGCTGGGCGGGGTTGTGAGCAGGCTTTCATTTCATCTTTTCTTATTATTTCTTATTATTTCTGCTTTTCATCTCAATACAAAAATTCTGCGCTTTTTCTCCATCTGCGCATAAAATCTAGACTGACAACCTGCTTGTTAAATCATGCACCTGCTTTCAGGCGTAAAAACCCTGTTGTAGAGGTCTCAGACCTCATTTGTTAGACTTACCTGTCTTTATAAATGTAACTTACTCTCTCTCTCTCTCTCTCTCTCTCTCTCTCTCTCTCTCTCTCTCTCTCTCTCTCTCTCTCTCTCTCTCTCTCTCTCTCTCTCTCTCTCTCTCTCTCTCTCTCTCTCTCTCTCTCTCTCTCTCTCTCTCTCTCTCTCTCTCTCTCTCTCTCTCTCTCTCTCTCTCTCTCTCTCTCTCTCTCTCTCTCTCTCTCTCTCTCTCTCTCTCTCTCTCTCTCTCTCTCTCTCTCTCTCTCTCTCTCTCTCTCTCTCTCTCTCTCTCTCTCTCTCTCTCTCTCTCTCTCTCTCTCTCTCTCTCTCTCTCTCTCTCTCTCTGTGTCACGCGGACCACTGTAGCGTGAAGTCTCACTGTACTGCTCATGACACGTGCATGAGTTGTTCTTAGTAGATCTGGTCTGTGCATGCTTCTGCAATGCCTGTACTACAGTGTTACTCGCTTCACTGCACATTCCCACGCATGCGCTCGCTCACTGCATCATGCAGTGCATTAGGTAGTGCTCATATGCGGCCCTTTCCTTTAGCTTTGGGTTCAGTTGTGTTAGAAACAAGTAACGTTGGTTGTTCTCTTTTTCTTACTAAACGATCACTATCAGGTTTTGAGTTGATAATAACAACCTTCCTCTCACAGCCAGTCCTGCTGTTATTATGGTTCTATTATCGGGGATCCGGCCCTGATAACATGGTGCTGTAACCAGGCGTGACAACCTCAGTTCCCGGCCAACTAATTCGAATTTGTTTGTCGTCTTGTCGTGTCGTTGTCCCGGACGCGGACATGGAAAGCCAACTGGTTCGGCAACGTGCCAACCTCAAACGACGGTTTACCCGTCTCAGGCAACGTCTAGTCACGGAGCTAGACAAATCTGACCCGTCGTGCCACTACCTACGGGACGATTGGACTACGGCCGAAGCCCTTCTCTCGGAACTGAACGCCATCCAGGCACAAATTCGTGAGGCAGCTGAGCAAGCAGAGGACGATGACCGCCTTGACCGGCTGGACACCTGAGAGGCGGATTTCGATGCAGAGGCCGAGATCGTCAGGGATGTCCGCTTCCATATTGCAAAGTTTGCACCGTCTTTGTTGGAGCAGAGCGCTCACCTGGAGCCCGTCATTTCTCCATTGCCAAAGCCCGTGGAAAAGCCTGACGCATCTGGGTCCCATGCTTTGCCTACAACACCGCTTGCTGTCACTGCCAACTCGGGCCTGAGTGACGTTGTGCCCTCTGCTACAGTTCTTCCTCACGGATCTGTCGGCAAGTCATGTACGTCTGTTGTTGCCACTGCCCCTGGAGACGGATCCTTGTTTCCTCGGACGTCTCTTTTACCTAGTGACTCTGACAGTGACTCGGAGTGGTCGACCACCTCCAGTTCGTCTGAGGCCAGAGTTACCTCCCATCCTCCAGCTCGACCGGTAGTGTCATTCCAGTCACCTGGTGCTGTGCCTCTCGCTACCAGCACACCGCAAGTTCGGCCAAGTGCTTCACCTGTCGCGTCTGCTGGTTCCGTGATGAAGCTGCCCATACAGCTCCCCAAGCTGTCGTTACCGACTTTTGATGGAGATCTGCTCGCTTGGCCAGACTTCTTTGATATGTTCTCCTGTGCCGTGGACTCCCAGGCTATCCCAGAGGTCTCCAAATTTGCCTACCTCAAATCGGTTTTGCACGGACGCGCGAGCCGGTTGATCTGTGGCCTCGCCATTACAGGTGTGAACTACCCGATTGCCGTGGCTGCGCTGAAAGCTGAGTTTGCACGACCGGAATTAATCGTTTCAAAACTGTATACGCAGCTGCAGCAGATCCCCTCAGCTCTGAATACGTCGGCCAGCATTAAGCAAACCCTGGAGCACATTGAGAGCCTCCTCCAACAACTTGAGGCCCAGGGTGAGGTCCTCACTGGCCAACGCCTCATCAGCCAGCAAATCCTGACGAAGTTCCCGATCGAGGTCACTTTCAAAATCGAGGAGTGGCGCCCACTCGACCAGGCCGCGAAGCCATGGGACATTGCAACCCTCCGGCAAGCGTTGAAGCGCTACAGTTGGTTGCAGGATACAGCCCGGCATCGTGCCGACTCCACTGCAACAGTGAATCCAGGTATCCCGGCGCCGCCTATGCCTGGCAGCTCCACAGCAGGCACGGCGAGTGCTCTCCCTGCTACTGTCTACTCACCGCAGGAGCCAGCAGGCCAGCGCCAACGCCGCCCCTGTGTGGTTTGCAGTGCTAGTCACTCGCATGATGAGTGCAAGCAGTACGCGACCGCCACGGCGCGGAAGGAGCGACTCATGCAGCTTCAATGCTGCTTCCGCTGTCTTGGGAAGGGACACCGCAGTGCTGCATGCACGCGAGACCGCAAGTGTCGCCATTGCCTGCAGGCGAACCATCACAACACAGCCATCTGTACCCAGCCTGCTACCGGTCACGCAAGTGCTGGACGTACACCATCGACGTTTACAACCGTTGCATCAGGTCACAGTAGCCCCACGTCCAGTGTCCAGCTGCAAACTGCTACCGTCACCCTCCATCACAGCAACAAGTCTGTTCGCGCTCGGGTTCTCCTTGACACTGGCAGCCAGCGCACATTTTTGACATCTGCTCTGGCTGACACTCTCGCCCTTCGCACGCAACGCACGGAGTATCTACTGATCTCTACCTTTGCCGGTGCTCAGCCACACCAGCTCGCCACTCCTGTCGTCGACTTTAGTATGTCACTCCAGGATAGCTCGATGCTAGAGATGACGGCTCACGTCCTGACCAAAATCACGGATCCTGTCGCATCCCTGATGAGGATCGTGAATTTCTCCAGTCTGTCTCCTCTCGTCTAGCGGACCCTATCCCGGAAGTGTCAGAGGCAGCTCCTATCGACCTCCTCATTGGCTCCGATTACTATGGCCACATCATCCAGCAGGCTCGAATCACCCTGTCCTCTGGTCTCTTCCTTCTCTAATCTCGACTTGGATATGTCTTGACCGGCCTCCAACCTGCCGCGGCCGACAGTTCCCAGACAGCGCTACTCTGCCACACTTCCATGAACCAAGCTTTGAGCCAGTTGAACGTGTTCCATCCAGCAAGCAGTGCCGCACCGACCCCAGATATCACCGACATGTGGTGTCTCGACCGTATCGGCATTCACGATTCGCCAAAGGTCACGGCTGACGACCTGGCTCTGAAGCACTTCCAGGATCACGTCCGTATTGTCGATGGTCGCTACGAGGTGGCATGGCCGTGGAAGGCCACACCACCTGACCTCCCCACCAACTACGGCTTGGCAATCGGCCGTTTATCGAGTCTGTGCCGCCGCCTCTCTGCCGATCCTGATCTACTTCACAAGTATGACACAGTCATGAAGTCACAGACTGACCTGGGCGTCATTGAGGAAGTCACCGAGCAGTCCACGATTGGTCCTGTTCAGCACTACCTACCCCACCAGCCTGTCGTTACGCCATCGAAGGCAACAACCAAGCTGCGTATCGTGTATGACGCTTCTGCTAAAAGTTCGAAACGGTCCAACAGCTTGAACGACTCAATGTACCGAGGCCCTATCCGACTACCCAACCTCTGTGGCATGCTCCTCCGCTTCCGTTGCCATGACGTTGTGATGCTAGCTGACATCGAGAAAGCTTTCTTACAACTCAGCATCCGTCCAGAGGATCGAGACGTCACCCGGTTCCTGTGGCTGAAAGACGTAGCCCGTCCCACGCCCACTGAGGACAACCTCGCTGTATACTGTTTCTGTCGCATGCCGTTCGGTGTCATCGCTAGCCCCTTCCTGTTGGAAGCAACGGTTCGGCACCATCTACGCAGTCATCCGTCAGCCTTGTCCACCATGATTGCCGACAACATCTATGTGGATAACATCATCATCGGTATTGATGACCACACTGATTCTACCACTGTCTACCGTCAGTCCAAGGACCTGTTTGCCAAAGCTTCCATGAACCTGCGCGAATGGACGAGCAACTCTGCAGAGGTCCGCGCCGCTCTACCACAGCAGGACCGAGTCCAGGCCCGTCACGTCAAAGTTCTTGGTCTCTCCTGGGACACCCAAGCTGATCAACTTACGATCCCGAGCAGTAAGACGCTGCGGGTGCCATCCACCCCGGATTCCCCCGTGACCAAGCGGATTGTCTTGTGTGGTCTCTCCAGCTTGTACGACCCCCTTGGCCTTGTGCTGCCTATCACGTTGCGTGCACGCCTCCTGCTACGCCAGATTTGGCAGTCTCAACTCGACTGGGACTCGCCGCTTCCTGAATCGCTTGCCGAGCAATGGTTGGAGATTTCTGCCATGATGTCTGATGTCTCGTCTCTGGCTATCCCTCGACTCTATGGCCCAGTCACGGCTGCTGTCGACATCCAACTCCATGTCTTCACCGATGCTTCGATGGATGCGTACGCTGCAGCTGCCTTTCTCCGGGTGACGACTGCCGGCAAGCACTACGCCAGTCTCATCTTCAGTAAGTTGCGCCTTGCCCCAACGTCCAAATCCCAGAGCGGTGAGTCCCTGTCCATACCGCGTTTGGAACTGATGGGCGTTGTGATCGGTGCCCGTCTGGCAGTCTTCCTACTCGAGCAGCTCCACGTCCGTATCTCCTCGACAACGCTATGGACCGACTCCAAGTGTGTCCTACATTGGTTGGCATCAACGCGGGATCTGGCGCTGTTTGTGCAGAACCGCATTGCCGAGCTACGCTCCCACAAGTCATTGGCATACCGCTATGTCCCGACCTCCGCCAATCCTGCTGACTTGGCAACACGTCCCCGCAGCGTGCAAGACCTGGCGAAGGATGCCCTCTGGTGGCATGGACCGCCCTGGCTTCAAGGACCTGACTCGCACTGGCCTCTCCGAGAAAGTCTTCACCTCACGCCCGAAACACTGCAACAAATCGCTGCTGAGTTGCGTGGCTCCAATGTCCTCCATAGTGTCACTCTTGCTGCCGCTGATACAACACCGCCAATGCCTGCAGCTGATGTTCTCACTGTGCTAGTCGACCGCACGTCTCGTCTTGAACGACTCGTTCATATCGTGTTCTACTGCTGCCGGTTCATTCAGCTCAAACTGTGGGCTTCACTTACAAGTGAACGACGGACCGCGCTCCACAAGTCTCATCCGCTACTGAGAACCCTGTTGCAAGCGCTCATTAAGACACCAGCACTTACCGCTACAACACGGCGCCTCATCCTGTGCCTCCTTGTCCGGTCGGCCCAACAGCAGTGCTTCACATCCGTGTTCAACAGCATCGCGAAAGGCACCAGATGTCCCCTCCAGCAACAGCTTGGTTTGACGATTGACACGTTCGTCATCATTCGGTGCCACGGCAGAGTGAAACCCGCCTCCGATACCGCTGATGCTCCGCAGGCTCTGCTTCCACCTGGTCATCGGCTCACGCATCTCATTGTCATGGATGTACACTGCCGCCTGCTTCATGTCGGGACAACTCACACTCTAGCTCAGCTACGCCTCTACTTCTTGCTACCTCGAGGCCGGGAAACCGTGCGAGCTATCATTCGCCGGTGTGTGACATGCCGTCGACACGAAGGTTCCCCATTCAAGCTCCCATTACCACCTCCCTTACCGAAGGAACGCGTGGCCAGAGCAGCACCGTTCGAGTTCGTTGGCCTAGACTACTTCGGTCCGCTCCTGACGCGCAGCTCGGATGGTGTGGTCACCAAGGTATGGGTATACCTCTACACCTGTTTTGCTGTGCGTGCTGTGCATTTGGAGTGTGTCCTTGACATGTCCACGGATCACTTCATCGCAAGCCTACGCCGCTTCATAGCTAGGCGCGGCGTGCCCCGTCTGTTGTACTCCGACAATGCATCGCAGTTCAAACTAGCATCGTCTGTGTTGGATGAAGCTTGGAGTGATGCTACATCCGATCCCATGGTGCAAGACTACCTGACTAACCACGACATTGTGTGGAAGTTTACTACAGCTTTGGCACCATGGCAAGGTGGGCTGTACGAGCGCATGGTCGGACTCGTGAAGAGGTCTTTGCGGAAATCCATCGGACGGCAACTCCTGACCGTCAACCAGCTAACCACCGTGTTAGCGGAAGCGGAAGCTGCAGTTAACAGCCGCCCGTTGACT